CACAACACTGCTCATCTCATCAAAAAACTGTTCGATCTTCCCCCCACTCACCCTAATACAAATTATAATTCCTATTATAAAAATACGAATGTTTTTGATTTTTACTTTTAATTAAACTTTTATTTAAATTAAAGTACAAAATCAGTTTTTCTGTACTCATTTATTTATAAACAATTTTATTTTTTATTCGTAATTTATCATTGTAAGGTTATTATTTAAAAACGTATTTTTTTTAAATTTTCGCCCTATAGCCTATTTCTTTTATCCGTGTGTTTCATGAAAAAGAAAGCATTGAACCAAGATTGATTAAAAAAATGATTTATCGTAATGAATAGTAATAAATACTACGATAACCAATATCGTAATGTGTTACGATATTCGCCGATACACGACTTCGCATTTGTATTTGTTTCATCACTAATATTAAGTTATACGTAATTACTGTAATATTTATTACATCCAGTCCTAAAAAGGTGTTATATATGTCAGTCAGTATGTGAAATTACGAGTGGATGTGTCGTAACCAGATCGTTAAGCGCAATGTGGACATTTGCATAATATGCGAGCTGGAGCTATAGGCGGCTGACACTGACGCACGACCACGGATAAGGGATGACGTACAGGCGAAGGCTCCGCACTGGGTGCGCTGTTACGTCAACGTGCGGATGACAGATTGTTGCGGCCCCCGTACTGCCCATACGTCCACTGTTCGTGAATAGTTCTAAACGCTTTGATGTTTACGAACATTGTAGCTTTACCCTATTTAAATTATATGGTAAATGTGGGTTTCTCAAATTTCTCTTATACATTAAAAATAAGTATGACTCATAAGTCATAATTAAACAAATATAAATATACATAATACACATGTTATATAAATGGACAATAGTTTTTGTTTCAATTTTATATTTTTTCCTGATATCTTATTTTCAGATAACTAAAATCTATAGGTACTAGAATAACTATACTAAATATAGAACAAAGTATTTTAACCTACAAACAAGATTACAAAATAACGTGCTTGCAAGTCTATCTAACGCTTCATAATATTCAGTATAGAACCACAAGCAACCGCGCAAATATAGAGGAATCTACACCGATACCGATACGTTATAATGCATTTGGAACAAGATCAGTAGGCTTTGCTATAGTATCCTATAGAAAATGTCAAATAATCAGAATACAACAATACAACATACAGTCCTGACTCGAAACCGAACAAAAGTTGGTCGTTTCTCGGATTTGAACTCACGATGTAATAGCTTCTTACCCCAAGACCATGCGGTCGTCTATGACTTATATTTACGAGTATGCTGTGTGATGGATGATGGATGAGGAATTTCTTGCATTAATTTTATGATTTACGAATGCAATTATATACGATTTTGTTACTCTTCGGTTTGGTTTCATTATATTATGTAAATGCATCCAAATACTAATTCTTTTACAGATTTCATTGCTTTTCATTTACTTATTTTTGTTATCCAGTGCTTTGCAACGCTCACGGTCACAAGGGGATTGAGGTGTATAACTTCGTGATGTCATAATTAACCCCAGCTACCTTTAGCTTAATTTTTTTTAATTTACTATAGCGCTGACTTTTCAATCATCAAATAAAAGTTATGCTGCAGGTTATGAATCAGGTTCAGTCAGGAATTAATGTGAATCATTTGAAGTATGCATACAACTGCATTTTTTTAATTACTTTATGTTGTTTATTAACATATGAATAAATTTTATCTGTTGGTTAAAAATCAGACCAAAAAATTTTTTTAAATGAAATTTTATAATAGTGTTAATTTTTACGGTCTTTAAAATATCGCTTTTTAATAAGGTATAGAAGATATTGCACGCGACTGTTAGCAGCAAAAGTGTTATGGCATTTTCAAATGAGATACAATTCATACGAAAATACAATAAAAAGCGTTGTCAATAGAAGGCAATGTGGCATTGTTAGTGACGTATTAAAACGTATATTCCATTTTTAAAGCATTCCGTCATATGCTTCGACAGACTTCGTAAAATGGATTGACTTAATGTGTGGAGTGGAATACTCTGAGATACTCTGGAGTTCAATGCATTTACATTATCATCTTACTTTTGCGCTGTCTTCATACAATGTCTCGGGGGAGTCAGTCATCGCTGTGGAGCGATGTGTTGCTTGGTATACGAGTAAACTGACTATAGACAATTTAGTAATTTACGTAGTTTTTGTCTCTAATGTCTCATTTTGTAAATGAGTATTGTTCATACCAAGAAGATTTGGTTTATAATTTATATTTATATTTTGCAGCTAACTTGAATAGTTGTCATATTTGAGAGCCTAAAGAAAATATTGTGATCTGATTCTTTAAGTATAGATACAGTTAGCTTTTGACAATGGTTTAGATTCACAATTAAAACCGGGTAGGCGATGCTGATGTCGAGATCAGAAATAACCCGTGCGAAGCCGGGATCGATCGCTGCTTACATATAAATAAAAAAGAAAGTGATCCAAAAATGTTAGATCTTACCTTATCAATTGAATTTGGAAAATAACAATGAGCCCACTGTGGTTTAAGCAAGAGTGTAGCAGGTACAACATTCTAAAATGATTTTCTAGGTAGATAATGTATTAGTATCTATCTCATCATCAAATAGAGTAGAGTAGAATAGAATAGAATTTTTATACGTGGTAGAGCCATGCTGCATCTATATTAGTAGTATAGTTGTTGCACGAATGGGTCGGCTCGACCGGGGAAGGACAACGCTCTCACAGAATACCAGCATAAAATAGCAGCTTAACACTGCTGGGTTTCGTATGGTGAGTTTAGAGAACCGGAGACCGCTTTTACTGGAAACGAGGCATTCAATCTTAGTCCTCACGGGTGACAACGCATCTACAATTTAATTCGTAATTAAGGATAGATGTAGATGTCTATGGGCCACAGCAACCACTTACTATCAGGTGGACTGTGTGCTCGTTTGTCACCCTTATCCTAAAAGAAAAGCAGACCAATTGGAGTCATAAATTTTCATCTTTGCGTTGAGTTTACAGCAAATATCCAAAGGAAACAGCTGCCATTCACTTATATATATGTAACGGTATGGCTCTACATCCCCCCTTCACCCTTTCATGATGATGATCACGTTGGTGCTATTCTTCTATTTTATTTCGAGAACCACCATTTTTTAAATACTGCCGGTTGGTTCCAAATGTATAAAATACTAATATATATTAGAGTGTCGTTAAGGTTTTGATCGAAGCGGAAGGCGAAGCATTTTACAGCTTTTGCTATAAATATATACTCGTACAACCTCGAGTGTAATGTTCAGAACAATTACCAGAATGGGTGTGACACGTAAGTTACACATGACCTTTGCTTTGTCTATCCGTTGGGAGACACTAATGAGGTTATTAAGCATAGTACCAAGGTCCCATCCCCAGCGATTCTGCCATAATTACTATATCGTCGGCAAATCGAATGTGAGTGATTCATTCGCCATTGATTAAGGTCGCTCAACGAACTATGGAGAGGTCTACCGTCTATGCTTAGAGTTTGTGTGCGAGAATGAATAAGTAACCCTAACAGCACTTTTCATACCGTAAATGACTTATTAATCGAAACCTTCAAAAAAAAGTTTTGACATGCCCGTAAAATAGGCAGAAATTGTCGATTTCACTTCTTCGTCGTCTGTAAATTTCTTTCACCGAAGTTCTTTTTTATATTTGGGAACCAATAATAATTCGAAGGGGCCAAATCTGGACTATAGAGAGGGTGGTTTAAAATTTCAAAGCTGCATTTGTGTAAGCAAGCCATCGCAACATGACTCTTGTGAACCCGTTCACGCGTTGTCTTGCAAAAGGAGCACACCTCGACTTTTTAGTAGCGAAGTGCAATACAGTCCAGTTATAATAATACCTCGATCTTTATAATCGATCAATAGAATCTCCTCTGAATCTAAAAACTGAAGCTATAATCTTTCCAGCTGATTGTGACACTTTGAACTTCTTAGGCAATGCTGCTTTGCTTCAGAACCCAAGTTTCATCTCAAGTTACAATTCGGTTCATAAATCCGTCCCTGTTCTCACTACACAGGTCCAAAAACTCGCGCGAACACTCGACCCGCTGCTGTTTCTGAAGCGGTGTAGCATTCTTGGCACCCATCTTACACTGACCTTAGATATGCCAAAATGGTCATGAAAAATGATGAAAATTGTCGTAGATGGATATTCCAGTCATTTCTGCGATCTGTTTTTTCTTCAGACGAGAATCTTCAAGAAAAAGTTTTCAACTATGTATTTCGACAATGTCTGAAGAAGTTGCCTAAATCGGTCGGCCCAATCGTCTTCTATTGAGTCTCTGCCTTGCTTGAAAAGGCTATGCCAAATAATTCATGTGTTTTTCAGATCAAAGAGTCCCACTAAACAGATGATGTCATCTCTTCCTGATGAGATGTTTTTCCTTGCTTACTCGTAGTAAGGAACTGTGCTTAGTTAATTACGGCACTAACAAAACTTAATTTTCTCTATAGTTAGTGTTCATTTCCCGATTGACTTGTTTATCCTTGATACCGATTTGGCAGAAATTTGGTATTTATGGTTGTATTGAGTCACCAAGTAGTAACAGTTAAAAAATCCCCCCTTCCCTCTCTAATCCTTCCATTTCGCGTACTTTTTGACCCACCCTCGTGCAACTGAAAGTATTACGAAATTATAATTTATTAGTTTGTGTTAAAAATAGATGCCTACTTATGCAAAGTTAAAATTAAATCAAGTCATATATTGCATGGCTTAATGATAGGTAAATTATAATACAGATTTTATAACACTTATTATATATTTGTCTTCTACAATCATTATCTCAACTTTTCTAAGGTTCTATATGTTAATATACATATAATAACTTGCTGTAACCATAACATGTACGTATATGGACGATACTCGTACCATATCTTTCATCGATTTCTTAATTAAAATACAAAATTATAATACAACGAAATTTAATAATTTGTTGCAGATGTCGACGCTTCATTAAAACAGGAGAATGAAGACGAGGCCGATCTGCATGGTAAGTTCTATTATTTTAAGCTTCGATGTGATGATTATTTTTTAATTTTAAGATAATATTGCGGAATGATATTACGTAAAACTTATTTCTTGTTTTAATAAGCTATAACAACGGTGACGAGTAAATTGGTCATTACACCTCAAGTCCCTATTCCGTCGTTAACTTCGTTGAAATTCATAAGGCTACTAAAACAAAAAGCAGTTTTTCGTCGCGATATTCCTTACTCTATGATGCCTGCGATGCGTTTTTACTGCGGTTTAACGTTCTTTTTACAACTTCGTCAAAGGGTGTGGTGCTATGACTGCCTTGCGGCGCCCGCTCCGTGCTTTACGACCCGACTCCTCGCTTATCTCGTGCCATTTGCGATAAATCTCCAACAGACTCCTTGGACCTCAAATATTTACATGCTAATTCGTAGTCAATTCTAGACCCGAGATTATGAATAAATTGGCCGCGTTGGGTCATCATCAAACTAAGCTTCCACTCTTTATCTTTTATAGCTTAGATATTTTAAGAGAGCTGTTTCGTGCCAAGTAACATTGTTACTTTAATATTACAGATCTAATTCCACTGAATATTTTCATATTCCTCAGCTTGAAACCTGCTCACTTCTAGAAATGGACCATTTCTATTGTAGGGGAGATCTACCGCAATCGCTTTCGTTGATTATGGAGCAATTAGTCTATCGCACTGCTTCAGTGCTTGATGGCAGATTTTTTTTCTTAAGGAAATTTTTGAGAACATGTTGTTATCAACTTTTTTTATCTTCAGGCGTAGTTTTCCGCACGCCATTTCCATTCAATGGTAAATCAGCATGGTAAATGCAAAAGTGCAGTTAACAATTGCATTGGTGCCAGTGGGAACTGTGAATCGAACCTGGGAAAGTACTTTGCTCGCGTAATGTGCAATTTACGGCGAGCGAGGCAAGCCCCGAAGCTTCCGCGGCTGATTACTTACATATTAACTTTTGTTTAGAAATTTACTAAACATCTCACTCACAAACAGATTACTAGAGTGAAGCAGCTCAATGCTGCACTGTGTTTTGTACTGTGTAGTGTAGCAAATCGGAGACCAAGCCATCACTCTTATTCAATACAAAAAATGTTGTAGTTAGGCTTAGGTTTAAAAAACATTACAAATGAGTATGGCGATCAACCATCATCTATTCTGTTTCATAATAGTACTACAATTTTATTTTAGTTTTATAAAAACAAAGAAAAAAAATTTATCCAGCATTTCTTTCATATTTCATACTATATAGTATCAAAGCTGCAAAGCTTAGTTTCGTTTTGATGAATATGTCGAGTTTGAAAACGTTACCATTCTAATTTAAAATGTTGCGTGTATTGCTAACTTCAAATGTGAGAATTTTTATGACATTAAGAACCTAAACCCAGAATAATCAGAAATACTAATATAATACCTGTAATAAACTTGGCCTCCCTGCTAAAAAGACACTATGAACATATTACATTAGGATTTTTGAATAAACATTTGTTAATATTTAACGGATATTACTATAATAAAGAATAGGGTAGGGTATTTTACTTCAGGCGATTATACTTTCTTTAGCTGCGTCAAAAACCTCGCACAGTTTAAGTTGAAAACTGAACTAAACACAATTGACAAGTAGAAAAGTTATTCAGGTAACAGACAAAGGCTCTTTTACCCTACAGCACCCTTAGAATTATGAGTGAATTACTTATTGTTTGCATTTTGCCGTAAGTTCTGTATTGTTTTTGAGTAGTAAAATATTTCCGTGTTTAGTGTTAGAAGAAATATGCTTTGTTTCACAACAAAGACCTTCAGTTATTTGTGGTAGTAGCGATCGGAAAATAAGTAATTTTTCCTAGTGACTGGTTCCCGTTGTGACAGACTCGTTGTTAGACCAACACGAGTGTTGCGCAAATGTATTCTCAGTGGGTCGGAGGGGGGCTAGCGCGGGAAGGGGGGCGGCGCCGCTGTGCCCGAAGTTGGGCGCGTGGGCTCGGTCTCGCGGGACCTAGCCGCAAGGACCGTACTCAGTTCTATATTGCGTTTTATTTAAAATCATGCCGCCAGTAAAATGTTGTTCCTAATGTTAGACGACTGTAGAGATGCATATATCAGTTAAGTGACGTAAAATATTTGCAAGTTATTTTGTCAACTAAAGCGAAGCAGCTATGCGAGTTATATTGTTCGTGCGAAGGATCGCCTCTCAGTAGGCATGTGGCTAATTAAATGCCGATGTTCGATCGACGGCCGGGGGTGCATTCGGAATTCCAGCAAGCGTCGGGGCGCGTGCCAGCCTACACCGCACCGCGTCAAATGCCTCGCAGCTAAGTTTACAATGTCGAATTGTTCTCTAACTTGACTTCAAAATTGTGGCGTCAACAAATAACTAAACGCATAATTTTGCGATCAACTTTATAACATCTTGGAATAGTGTTACAGTTATAAATTAATAATTCTAAAAATCTATATTATTAAGAATATTCTAAAAACTTAGTTGTCTGAACTATCACAGTATTTTTTCTATATTAAGTTGTTTTGTATATGAAAAAAAATATTTTAAAGCCAAAAAAAAAATACGTAAGTATATAGTTTAAAAGATTTTATATTGGTAGTGCGTGGATTCCGTCCCTGGTAGGTCCCAGGTGGCGCGGCCGCAGCGTTTGGAATTATCACATAGTGGAGAGGGCGGGCGCGCGGGCGCGCGGGCCGGGCGGCAGCCCGATACATTCGTCACAGGCTCAGCAGCCATTAGGCATTTAGATATTATCAGCGGCCACCCGGGGACGTCCCGCGACCTGAGCCCACTGTTGTTCCGATGCTTAATTACTAAAAGTGTTCGTTGTTTACTGTTGGGATCCGTTCACGTTTTCCGAATTATATTGCAGCCGTTACGGTGCTTTTCTGCTTTTCTATGGTTGTAGCACGAATATTTCGACCGGGGAAGGAACACGCTCTCAAATAATAGCGGTGTAAAATAGCACCTTAGTGCTACTATGTTTCGTAAAGCGAATGTTGAGAAAAGGATGTCCTCTTTTTATTGAAAAAGAGGTTTTGCATTTTATTACACAGCATTGACACCGCATTTGCATTTTGGTTTTTAATCGAAGATATATGTAGATGTCTAGTTGTCTCTGCATCAATTACCATCAAGTGGACTGTGTGTTCATTAGTTTTTTTTAAACCAGTAGCTGTCTTTCTGAATTATACTGATATGTATACAACAAAAAAGTAACAGGAACGTGGAGACAGCTATATCTATTATCGTAAAATTAAAACGCTCGTACGATCACCGCTATCTTGTCAGTGTTGTTTATAATCTTACGCCAGTTTCTTAAAAAATATCCTCCCCCTATCACTTGGTCCCAGGTGGCGCCTCTCCGGCCACATTTCCTTCCGTCCCAATGGGATGCTCAGTTCACGTACACACACACTCACATTGTTGAATGTCATCGTTTCTCAACCTTATTTAGTATAAATAGCATTTATCATAGTTTAGGAATACACGTTTTGTTATGTAAACTGTTAAGTTTGCAATTAAAGACGGGTTTACACTATAACGTAAGGGAGTAAAACAGAAAATAGATATTGCGCTGTGGAATGGACGCATTACTTTCTGTGTGAAATCAACCGCTTCAGTCTAGATTGCTTTCAGCACTGAGCGAATAAATGGGCACCAAGATATTTCACTGTTTTTCTTTTATAATAAGATTAAGATGTTTGTCACGAGACAAGATTTTTGAATTGAAAGGCGAATGTACCTTTGTGTGTAAAAACGTTTTAAATTGATATGGTTATCTTTATAAAAGGGATAAGGAAATTTATAATGAGTAAAATAGCACAAATTAATAAGGTGGCCAAACCTTCGTAGACTATGTGGAAGTCTCGAAAAAGCAGTGGTAATCCTCTATTATATTAACTATTGTAGTGTTGCGGCGTAAGAATAATTCACGACCTCATTTCATTCCGTATTCCAAATATCCCTCCATGTGACAATCTAAGAGGGGAAGACCCATGTTCTGCAGTGGACTTTTGTTTGATTGTCATGAATGAGTGCACAAAAAACTATTATTGAAATGGTGGTAATAGTGGTACCAAACGTTTAATGTGTCCTGCATTCTTTGAAAAATAAATGCACAATTCTGTATTAACATTGAAAAAAATTTTATGCGCACTGTGTTTACTGCAACATTTAATTTTGGTAGTAGTCAAAAAATTGTCTTACCTATACTAAACAAAAACTTAGATATAATAAAAAATACGATAATCCGAGTTTTGTAAAAGTCTCTTACTTGAGAATTTTCTTTACTGCACTTTTTACAAACTTGATCTCCTTACAAAAAAGTGTAATAGTGATAAATTATTAACGACAGAAGCATACTTTTAGGGGTTCTTGTGAATAAGCCAAATGCATAAATCGTCTGTTATGAGATCAAATGTGTGGAAAATAAGCTCTACGGTCACAATAATCGTTATTCATCATTTAATTATGGTACTTATTATCTCTAATATCAACATAATTCTTAAGTTTTTAAAGTAAGGTTGTATGTCTCACAAAGACAAACACACATCTAATGGTAACTAGAAGTTGTAGTGTAAAGACATCTAGGTACATCTATTTTGGATTATATTCAGAATCAAAATGCAGATGCATTGTCACTTTCTGAAGACTTGTGAAGAATGCTTTGTCAATAGTAAAAAGGGTATCTAGTTATATTCTTTCACTTTATGAAACGGAGTAGCTATAGATAATACACATACGTAAAGGACAGAACATATTTGACGCCGGTGTACTGTAATAATTTGGTTCTTCCCAGGTCGAGCCGACCAATTCGTTCGACAGTTGAATACACGCTGACTCTACCACGTAAAAAGGATAATTGTATAAAGCTCTTTATTTAATAAAAGGCTCTACCTTCACATAATAATTGTCTTTTTCAGCTTGTGAACTCTCTCTTCATATCCATTGGCTGCAGGTTGAGAAACGATGTATGTACATATTATGTATGTACTTCCACATTGCAATAGCCGTTCATACCACTTTTACTTGAGAAATCACACAATTTAAAAAAGGAAACCTAGACAAAATATAGAATTTAGCCGGCTACGCTATAGTTATGATCAGAGGATGTACTTGTATGCTTTATGTGCTTAACGTGACCGGTTCGTTTCCCGTATAGCACAGTAATTATTAATTCACTCTACAAATATCTGCAGAATTTTGTACAACATTTTATACATGTATATTTAGAATAAACTAATAACTGAGCTATCAATGTAAATTGTTTGAAATTTTAAATTATTTGACCTTAAAATTTTACTAAAAACTATTCGACATGGCCTATCTGTGACCTCATTGAGTTGTTTTAATAATGCAGATAGCGATCAAAGGTCTGGTCGCGTTAGCAATGCGAGGCTGCGGCGCGGCTGAGGCGCG